CGTAGGGCTGGCACAGCGACAGCAGCAGTGACAGTGCAGGCCCCGCGCTCGGCCCAGCCGCGATGTCACTGCCCAGCACCAGTGCCAGCGCTTCCCATTGCTGCCTGTTCTCAGTGCCAGCATCGTGTCCCAGCATCACGTCCCAGTCCCAATGCCAGTGCCACATCCCAGTCCCAGTGTCAACGCACCCCATTGCTGCCTGTCCCCAGTGCCAGTGCTATGTCCCGTGCCCAATGCCAGCACCAATACCCAGCCCCTCGGTGCCAGGGGGAACACGTACCCGCAGCACAAGGCCACCAGCACCCACACACCGGTACCAGCATGGTGCCCCATGCTACCCAGCAGGCACACACCAGGGTGCCTCAGTGGCATCACCATGCGGGCAGCCCACGCACTCATGGCGCATGGCTGCTGGGGGACAGCACTGGGCCACCAAGGGACAGCATGGCCAGGGCCACACGGCTGCCAGGAACAAGATGCTCCAATGCCTCACAGCCCCAAAATCCTGCCTGGCACCATGCCAGGCTGCCGGTGGTTATTTTAAGACCTGGGATTTAATCAGCAGCCAGCCATGAATGGTATTGATACCAGCAGTAGAGCTGCGCAGGCTGGTGGCCTGTCTGCTGACACCTCGCATTGGGGCCTCCTGGTCCTCCTGTACCCAAACACCATAGCACCATAGCACAGCCATGCAAATGCCCAATGCTGCCAGGCTGGATGAGGCACAGCCCTGGCCACAGCCCCAGGAAGGGATAGGGACAGCAACCACCAGCTGAGCCCTGGGTGGACATACTCTTCATTGGGGTCCCCCCACACCTGCCCACTCACCTGCCCCTCCACAGCCAGGGGCTCCTCCAGGCGCTGCTGCAGGTCACGCTTCTCGGCCGACAGTGTTTCCACAAGCCGGTTGCTGGTGGCCAGCTCTTGAGTCAGCTCTTCGATCCTCCTGAGAGGAAGGGAGGAGTGGCAGACACTCAGCACAGTCCTCTCCTCCACAGCCCAGCTACCTTCCCTTGGAGTGACCTCTCCACACCCCGGGTACCTGCAGCTGCCCACCCCGCAGAGCAGCAGCCCCTTGGTAGTCCCCAAGGACCAGCATGGGGCACAGGCTGGGAGCATAGAGGGGATGGGTCCTGGGTACCCACCTCTGGGCTATGGCACTGCAGCCATCATCTCTCCTGTCCTCCTCCTTCGTCTTCACAGCTTCCTTCAGCTTCCCCGCCAGCTCCTGGCATCGCTCCGCCTCAGCTCTGGCTAGCACCGTGGCCTGCTCGGCCTCTCTCCGTGCCAGCCTGGCCTCCTGTGTAGCAGTGGGGTAAGCCCCCAGGCACCAGCACCTGGCCTCCCCTTGGCTCCCACCACCCTTCAGCTCACCTCCTGCAGGAGCTGGATCTTGTTCTCCAGGAGCTCATAGACATGCTCCGACTCCCGCTGCCGCTCCTCATACTGCTGCCGGAGCGCTGCCTGGCTGCGGGTCGTCTGGTTCTCCGCAGCCACCCTGCCAGGCACAGCACAGCATTGCATGCCGTGGCATGGCACAGCACAATGTAGCATGTCATGGTATGGCACCACATGGCATCTCACAACATGGCACAGCATGGCCTCTCTTTGCAAAAGCCCCCACCGCAAGCCAGCTGGGCTGGGGGAGCCATGCCATGCTGGGTGCCCCCAGTCCAGCTCCCCCCACACCATGGGTGCTGTTTCTGCTGGATCTCCAGGCAGGGTGTACTGTGACCTCTGGGTGCCACTGCCCTGAGGACATGGCTCCTCTGGTGGCACCAGGTCATGCTTAGGCTCTGAACCACCAACGCCATCCCTGCACGATCCTGAAACCAGGAATCCCTGGCTGCCATGTCACCGGCCCCCTGCCCAGTGTTGCCCTGCTGCAGGACACCCATGCCATGGCCCCCGGGCATGGCACTGCCCTCCCCCATCGGACAGGTGCTGCCCTTTATTTTTGGCTGGCGCCAGGGCTGTAAGAGGAGCCCCGCGGGTGCCTGGCTCCATTGCAAACCCCTCCACTGCCCGCTGCGGGCAAGGCGCAGGCAGACGACCCCTGTCCCCCATGCCCATAGTATGTGGGTTCCATGTCTGTCCCAGGGCAAGGGGCTTGGCTGGCCCCACTCACCATGTGTTGTCCAGGGCTTGTTGCTTCTCCTGCAGCTCCCGCTTCAGGCTCTCCACCTCCACCTTCAGCTCAATGTTCTGGGGGGTGGGATGGAGGTGGGTAGGATGCCCCCATGCTTGCCCAGACCCTCTCCCCAGTGCTGCTGCCCACAGGAGTGCATCAGAGGTGACATGGGGGTCCCATATCCCACAGCAGGGCTTCAGGTGCTCCTGGCACCAAGCAGCACAGGTGGTATTTTAGCCCGCTGGTGCTGGGATGGGGTGTACCCACCCCATCTGTCTGCACCCATACTACCACCACCCACCTTGGTCACCCCACCAGGCTGGGGACACTCTCTCTCACTCTCTCCCCGTTCTGGTCAAAGGCAGCAAGGGGCAAACTCCCACACAGCGGCTTCCCCAGACTCAGTGCTGTGCCCAATGCTTTCCCCAGCATCCCCATCAGCTGCAGTCCCCCAGGCCCACCTCCTCCTAGCAAAGGGGGGGTACTGGGAGGAAAACCCCCATCGGGCACCCGTTACCCATGGGTGCTCACCCGCCGATAGACATCGTCCCGGCTGCCCTCGCCCTTTTGCTGGACGCGCTCCTCCAGAAAGTAAATGCGCAGCTTGAGGCTGAAATTCTCCTTCTTGAGATCGTTGAGGTGCTGGGAGAGCGTGCGGTACCCGTTAGCCATGGCCGGTGCTCCATGGGGGGCACATCCCAGCACCCCTCACATGGTGCCGCTGAGGACACAGCCAAAAAATCCCCCCCCCGCCTGTGGCTCCCCCCGTCGGCCCTGCCGTGGCCCCTTTCCTTTTTTTTTTTTTGCCTCCTGGAGCTATTTGAGGAATCGCCGGAGCGGGATGGCGTGGACGAGCGCGTGGTGAAACCTGAGCCACAGCAGCCCCCGCGAGCCTCAGCCAGGAGGGCGGCGAGGGGGAGCGCGGCGCCTGGGGGGGCTCAGCTCCCTCTCCTCGTCCCACCACCAACTGCCCCGTATCCCCCTCCTGCCCTCTGCACCCCACAGGGGATCCAGCATATATCCTACAAGCACCCTGCAGTGCTGGGGGGGTCTGGTGGTGCCATGGGGGGGGTTCTGGCACCCCACGGTCTCACCTGCTCGAAGTCCCTCAAGGTCTGTGTCTGGGCGAGGGGACCTATCTCCAGGTCCCGGAGGAGACATGTCTGCACCAAGGGGTCCTGCTCCAGACCAGGCTGGGGTTGAGCACCCAGAGGGCCATGGGATCCCCCCGGCTCAGCCAGTGCAGGATCCTCGTCACCCTCACCCCATGGCCCGTCTTGGGAAGCTGGGAGGGAGCGAGGGCAAGCGGCGGTCAGATGAGCAAAGCGGCTGCTCCTCACACTGCGTGCCCCCGAGGTGTCCCTGGGAGGCATGCAGGGTATAGGGGGCTCTCAGGGTGTCTTACCCGCCATGTGGCTGGCTCTGGGGAGCACGGCCGGCCCGTTGCTGCTGCAGGGGTCCCTGCAGAGAGGAGCACATGGCCATGTCACACAAAGCATGGGGATCCCCATGCACCACCCAGCTGCTGTGCAGAGGGGCCAGAGAGGGCAGCAAGGGATTTTACCAAAGGCTCTCTGCGTATTCCTCACTCCAGGGGGGAGTCGTGTGACACTGGAGGGATGGTGGGGCGAGCTCTTGACATCAAACTGCCACACAAAAACCTGCCCGGAGTGGGGGGGTGAACTCCAGGCAAGGCAAAACCCCCTCCACATCCTTCGGGATGCATGGGGATGGGAGGGGGTGCCTGTGAGTGCATCTGTGCACATGTCGGGGAGCTCGAGTGTGCTCCCGCTGCCGGGAAGCTTCTGCTCTAAGTGCAGAGACACGAGGCCCCAGGGGCAGTGCAGATGGCAGTGTCCCCTTAGGAGCACTTTAGCCCCATTAGTAGCTCTGGCAGGGCCACCTGAGCCCTGCATCAGCCCCCCTCGCTCTGCGAGGGCCCCCGTGCCTCCGTGCTATCACAGCTCCCAGATCCCCACCGCAGCTGCAATCAGGTTTATTTTCAGCTGAGAAGTGTGAGTCATTTCATGACAAAAGAAAGAGGGGGGAAAAAACACCCAAACAACCCACGAATTAAAATATACAGCTTTTTTTCCTTTTAGAAAAGTCAGAATATTTATTTTCTAATCTCAGCATGGCAGCTTTTTGGTGGGGTCCCATGAGCAGGGAGGTGGGTGCTCACCCTCAGTGCCACAGTGGGCACAGTGCTCTGCCCACATACGCAGGGCTGAGCCCCAAGAGCCGGGCAGGGCCAGAACGTTCCTGTGCCACAGGCCATGCTAAGGGCCCTGGGGCCACGTCCCCAGAGCCGGGCACACCACACTAGCACCCCATGGATAGAGAACACAGCACTGCCAGCCTGGGAGGGAGCATGGGGTGGCAGCCATGAGATGTCACATCATGGGGTGTCACATGCTGCCCTGGGTGCACCACCAACCCACTATGAAGAGAAACTGAGGCACAATGGCTTTAAACACACCAGCACTGGCCAGGTGTGGACCTGTGCCCTGCCAGGCACCATAACCAGCATGATACCCAGAAAAACTGTACCCGGGGCACAGTACACGGAAACACAGTATCCAGAGGTGCCATGCCCGGAGGTGCAGTACCCAGAGGCATGACATCCAAGAAAGCACAACAGCCAGAAGTACAATACCAAAAGGCATGACAGCTGAGGAGACCTAATACCCAGAGGCACAGTACCCAAGAGGCCTGATCTCTGGAGGCATGAAACCCCAAGAGGACCCATACCCAGGAGGCGTGATACCCAGAGGTGTGATACCCAAAGGCAAACATCAGAGGAACCCCAGTACCCAGACTCAAGATGCACAAGGATGCACAATACTCCAGGAATCACAGTACCCAGTGACACAATATCCCAGGAGGCAAAATGCCTGAAGCAGCACAACACCCAGTGACATGACATCCAAAGACGCATGACATCCACAAGCATAATACCCAGAGACACAGCGACCAGGAAGGCACAACAGCCAAATGCCCGTACCCGAGGAGACACACCCACAGAGGCACAGTACGCTACCCAAGGAGGTGTGATACCCAGGGGCGCGACACCTGAGGAGGCGTGATACCGAAAGAGGGAAATACAACACTTGAGGAGATGCAGCACCCAGAGGGGCGATACCCAGACGCAAGGGTGACCAACCCCTGCCTCTCCAGTGCCATGGGGGCTGCTCAGGGAGCAGCAGATGCTTGGCCAGCACCCCCCAACACCAAGACAGGGAGCCCCATACTGGACCATGGGGATGCTGGGCCAGAAGGAGCCCTGGGCTCTACCAAGGCCATGGCCAGCTGGGCTGGAGCAGGGGTTCCCCCCCTCCCCATCCCTGTGCCCAACACTGGGAATTTGTTTGCTGTGAAAGGGAGGCCGCTGCGGTGCTGCTGGGGCTGCAGGAGGACAAGAGCCCTTTCATGCTGGCCGTGCCACCCTGGGGTGTGGAGCAGAGCCGCTGGCACAGTGTGGAGCCGGAGGGGGGCACAGCCTCAGGGCCCCCCACTCACAGGGCAGCACTTCCCACCCCCATGTACCTTCAAGCCCTGGCACGAGGGGTGCCACGCAGCCCTGACTCAGAGCACCCGCTGACTCACAGCATCTCCATGGCATCACACCAGGGCCACCGTGGCTGCTTGCCGCCACCGGCACTCCAGGGTGCCACTGGGGAGAGGGGAGAGCACAGGGGGAGTTGACAGGGCCATGACACGTGGGCAGCATGCGGGTGTCCACTGCCTCATGGGAGAGCATCCCCAAAGTGCCTGGCACCACTCAGCACACCGAAACGGCAACTCACCTCCTCCTGTGGCCGGATCACCTTGGGACGGACAGAAGAATGGACAGATGAATGGCAGACCCCAGCCCTGTGCTCAGCCACAGCCACTCTGGGTACCAGTGATCGTCTCAAGGCTGGTAGAGGGGCTGTGGCGAGGGCCAGGCAAGGCAAGGGCCAGGCAAGACCAGGGCGAGCACAGGGTCTTGGTGCTGGGGACGGGATATCGAGTGTGGCACAGGCTGGCTCCCCACTGACTTGTCGGCACAAATGTTTCAGCAGGGGCTGAGTGTTGCAGTTG